TCTTTCTTTCCTTTTTTTTTGTTAGTTTTGTTTTCTGTTTTTTTTATACTTTGTTTTCTTTTAGTTTCCTATTATTTTAGTTTTAGTAAATTACCAGAGTGGCACCTAAATAGGATTTTACAAATTATGCCACTGCCACAATAGTTTAATACTCATAACAATTTAGTTTTGAAAATGTTTATTATTTTTAAAGCATTAAAATAATTGTTTTGCTACTCTTTTATTCATTTAACAGTATTTAAACATTTTATAAAAGTGTGGTTTCACCACCATAATTATCTATGCAATATTTGGTTCACTCCGAACATTTTAGTTTTAATATTTGAAAACTTTTATTGTTTGCCTATTTTTGAATTTGAATTTGAATCGGTTTCGAACTAACTCGAGATTAGCAACTATAAACGAGGTGACGTGGCACCATTAGCAGAGGATCGCTGTAGCTTAATTCCCCGGGCGTCACAATCCTGTGCATCGGCCAGACCACATTCAAAGCCCCATCTCTGGCTGCCCAGATCCAGCGACCATACATAGCAGCACTCCACCGTGTGAGCCCTGGCGTACCGACCACTACTGGAGTGCACCACCACTGGAGCCTAGAAGGTGGGCCGCCACCCCACCTCACCAAACCGCGAGAGCATCCGGGAAATGTCCTGCTCCTGCTCGTCACCGTCACTGATCCAATCCAATTCGGAGCCAAACCACCAGATGGCCGGCACAGTTCCACCTTGGAGAGAGGCACCACCACGCCATCCGCCGTGGGCTTCCTGAGTTTCACCTGCCGCCAACGACTAAGGCCGCTGCCTTGGGATCCGGGTCAGACGTCGTCACCGCCACCGACCACGCCTAGCCCCAACCCCATCCTCTGGCCGATCTCCACCCGCATCACCATGAGCATCGCCACAGGGAGCCACCGCGCCGTCATGGACCGAGGCAGACGCCACACCCCGCGGATCATGCACCCTTGCCGCCATTCAAGTTGGGAAGGAGGAGAAGCCCTTCGTTGCTGCCATCAAATGCACGAGCTTTAATCGTCGCTATCCCATGACTGCGATGGAGGGGGAGGAGGGGAGAATAAAGAGAGGCTGGCAGCTAAGGTTAGTGCCTCTCGTGTCGCCCGCGAGGGTGGCGATGCGGGAGGAGGGTTGAAACAATGGTTGTAGCCAATAGAGTTAAAACAATGGTTGTAGCATCATGTGAATATATAAATAATAATGTACAAAACATGCATTACTAGTCGCATCCACATATGCACATTACCATGCTCAACCACAATCACGTTCACCTACCAAAACATCAACAAACATTCATTAGAAACGGGACTCGCATATTTAAGTTGCTTAGTTTCTTAATAATACACGTGCATCCACACATACGCCACTCGATGGTTGATCATTTTGTTACCAAAATTTCAGATCATTTGCAACTGAATATGCAACTGGATGGTCTCCACCCGCTCCAGCAGCAAGACATGGTCTTCTCAGCCACAATTCCACATGAAACGATGTCCACCTTAATAGAACGCATTGTGGTATCATCAATGTGTTCTTCAGGTGTCATCATTAACACCTTCAGCGACCTCGAAGATGCTGAGCTACAAAAGATCATTGATGGCATGGGCGTTCCGGTGTATGCGATCGGTCCGCTTCACAAGATATCTTTAGGTGCCCAGAGCAGCCTGTTGGCTCAAGATAGAACATGTTTGGATTGGTTGGACAAGCAAGAAGTAGGATCTGTTCTGTTCGTGAGCTTCGGGAGCTTGGCATCCATGGATCAGGAAGAGCTAGTGGAGACTGCATGGGGCTTGGCCAACAGTCGCATGCCATTTCTTTGGGTGATCCGGCCTGACTCGGTTCAGGGTTCAGGGAAGATAGGCCTACCCGACGGCTTTGAGGAAGAGGCACGAGATAGGGGAATGGTGGTGAGCTGGGCCCCACAACAAGAAGTTCTTGGGCACCAGGCGATTGGTGGATTTTGGACCCATAATGGCTGGAACTCAACGTTGGAGAGCATAAGTGAGGGTGTTCCAATGATATGTAGACCACATTTCGGCGACCAAATGATAAATGCCAGGTATGTCCAGGAGGTGTGGAAGATAGGGTTTCGGTTAGAGGGCAAGATGGACAGGGACAATATTCAGAGGAGTGTTAAAAAGTTGTTTTGCCACGACGAAGGTGGAGAGATGAGGCGAAGGGCAAATAATCTCAAAGACAAAGCAACCCGGTGCATTATGAAAGGAGGCTCTTCACAAACTGGAATTGATTTGTTGGTGAATTGCATAATGACATTACCTTCTTCCATTTAGATATTACTTAGTTTGGATGCATATATGTTCCCGTGTGATAAATGTATGACCGCATATATGTTGGAGCTGAAACAAACATTTGAAACAATTGTATTAATGTATGACCGCAAGCCACATTGCGATATAGTCGGTCATTTTCGCTTGTGCATGCTATATATCAAAAGCATCCGATGTTTTATAATTGGGATGGGATGTGTAAGAAATATCTTATTGTACTGTCTTATATCAAAGAAATAAAAAATATCACTGTATCTTTGGTTCTTAAGCTACTGCCTTTATGAAAGTAAAAAGAAATCTCACTACAACCCTAGTAATTTTCATTTTCAATTTTTGTCTATGTTGTCTGGTACTCTGGTATGCTTTTCACGTGCCCAAATAACAATCTGTCGGTACTACTGTGTGATGCGATTGATCAGATACTTGCACCAATTTCTTTTGTATAGCTTGTCGATACGCCGATGTTCTGATCCACGCATAGGGGGGACGAGCATGAGGCTTCTAGTGGAATGAGAAAATCTAGAGCTTGCCGAGGCAACACTAGTACTAAAAACCCATTACAAAGTAACTGCGCCGCCGCCCACCTTTGCAATGCGGTGATAGTGTCGTTTCTCACATGCATGCTGGGAGGAGGCTACACATACCACTGAAGTCACAGGCTAAGAGTATTTAGCGCGTCGAGGAGAAGCACAACAGAACACGCGACACTGGGAGAGTTAATTGGAATTGATTCACATTTTTACTATGACATTAAATACTGGCGGATGAATCACCAAGGGTCCATGCAAGCCATCGGATGAGCACATATGTATGGGCTAAGCAAGGGCCGGCCCTGGCATTTTGTAGGCCCTTGTGCGAACTTGGTATAATGGGCTCATACGCTATAAGATTCGCAAAGAATTTACCGTAATGACATTGTTTTGTGTAACTAGGTTTTCATCAGACTAGCCACAGTGGGGAGTAGCTTCAGTAGTAACATGGGTCCAACTCAGCCACAGTGCAACGATTTAATAAGGAAAGAGATGATTTGAGTAACATAGCTATAGTTACTTAAACTATGGGTAACATCACACATATATACCAAGACAAGATGAGTTTACATCCTAATAAATGAAGTGTTGGATAACATCATACATATCTTACTCCCCACTATAGAGGTAGTAACATAGACTAGTAACATATGCATATTACTAGTCAAAGTTACTCCTCACTGTGGCTAGTCTCATGTCGTTGTTTTCAACACTAGGGAGACCTAACACCACTTGATTCTTGGTGGATGCATCTCAAAACGAATTTGTGCATAACACCATGGAAACTGATCGCGCTCTGCTCTGCCAGTTGCATCCATCGCCTGCCCACGCCCTCATTCCCTTGTACAATGCTCGGTCACAACAACATTAGTGATCAATATAGTATTCCGCACCACAACCGCAATGGCTGACTCGTCGTCGCTCCTGCCGGACCTCATCCGCCGCGTCAGCTACTGCCTGCTGGACACAACTGACGTCAACTACTACATGGACATGAGGGCTGTCTGCCACAGCTGGCGCTCCGCCATGGCCGACAGGAGCAGGCGTACCTCATCTCCTCTATGCATTACTATGTAACGAGGGGTCTCCTGTTGCAATTTTAGTCCTCGGGCCGTTTACCCCGAAAAGGATTAGGTTTAAATGGATTAGGGAGGCTCTCGAGAAAAATGTCCCGGAGGAGCTTCTCGCTGCTGACTGTCGTCGCCCTGTCCACCAGGTAAGAAACCATGTGCACCCGGCTTCGCGTATAGCATATAGAACATCTGCTTCATTTTCCCTGCCGGACATCATCCCTTCTTTCTCACCGATGATCTTGATGGAAGCGCCGCCGACGCAGCTGGCGGCGGAGGGTCTATGTTAGAGTTAATCTTGTTGTCTGGGTGTCACCATGTTTATTTCGTCTCATTAGTTCGTTCATGCATTAGGTGAGTGGTTTGGGTAGTGGCCCAGCTAGCATCCCTTCATCATATGGATAGGAGTAGCGGCATATGTTGCCAAGATGGTGGATTCAGGTATATTGTGTGTAATACTTTGTAAGGTCCTCGAAAATAATCAATAAAGTGGTCGTATGCATCTCCCAGAGAGAGGCCGGGGGTCATCCTCCTTTTCTAAAAAGAAAGTTCGTTCATGCATGTAGTTAAGTTGAAGGCTTGAGGCTACCGCAGTGAGCGTGCTCCTAGAAGTGTGGAGACGAGTACACATGCAAGCTAATAGTGCCTAATTAGTTAGTTGAGTTAGCATCAGCTGATCAGTACCATCACCTAATAGTGCCAAGGCAAAGGTGTATGTGCCAAGAGTCTCTGTGCGTATCTTCTTCAAGCTTCAAACTTATGTGTGTTCTTCTTTCTCCTTGGGCAAACCCAACAGTCTAATGGTAGTGCCCGTTTCTCCCCGCCCACAATGGCCGGCCGCTCATGCTTTCCAGCCCTCTGCCAAACACGTTGAGCTATCACCGTGTTGTGCGCCGGCCGGTGATTCTGGCAGCTGCTATTTCTCGATGGGCATCGCCGTCACGGCTGAGATAGACCACGCCGAGAAGGGGACTTGGCTGACAAGGACATGAGGAGCATGTAGTAGATAGGATTATTGGTAGAGGTGGACCGGAAGAGAGGAGGACAGGGCTGGTGGCGGCAGCGCATGTGTTGGTTGCCCTAAATGATCGTGCAGATCGTGCGTCGATACGAGAGGAGGATAAGCGAGAGAGGCGGACTGGTTTTCTTCGGTCTTGATGCGTGGGTAGACCAGAGAGAAAAACAAAAACCAAAGATAGGGTTCTTTGGGGGAAATCCGTGAAGGCGCGGGGGTCGCGCGAGGGTTGGAGGGAGTTAACGAACGAATGAAACTTAAGAAGTTCCCCTAAAAGTAGAGATTGTGTCATGGTACTTTTGTTTGTCTGTTTTTCTGTGGTGTTGGAATCATTCCATAACATTATGGTGAAGTTTTGGTGTTTCTTTTTTATAACAAGTACAATCGTGGATGCTCACATACACTCACATACACCCATTCTTATGAGTGCACGCAGGCACAGTCTATCCCTTTGAGCACCTTCGAGATAGTGAACACTAAGATCTCTTACCACTGAACGAACATCACCAGAAGCCTAAAATAAATCCAGAAAAAGCGGGCACCAGTGCAAAATTTTGGACATGAACCTGGTGGGCTGGTTCATCGCACATAACCTAACCATCCGAGTTACACTCAGGTTGCTAAATTTTTGTGTTTCGACAGTTGTACTTCAAGGGAATCATCTCCGCCCTAAGCATGTTCATCCCTCATGGCTTCCTATCCTTTTGGATGGCGCTCAAGGGCTTTCAAAATCCGTTGTCAGTAATCAAATTCGTGCAGATGAACGAGTAGTAGTAGCGCTACTCTAGTCGGAATTGCAGCCCCTCTCCTGGTATTTCATCTTGCAAAAATTGATACCACACAAAAGATGTCTCCAATTATTTTATTTTTTATTATAATTCTTAGTTGTTAGAGTTACTTTATAAAAATTCGGATCTTAGATCTAAAGCAATATACATATATAATGGTTATGAAAGGATAAAGTTAAGCGTATCTAAGATAAGTTGTACTCCCTCCGATCTATATTACTTGTCGCCGGTTTAGTATAACTTAATACAGTACTAAAGTAAACCAGTGATAAATAATATGAATCGGAGGAAGTATCATACTTTATTTAATAGTTGTAAAAATAATTTAAATACAAATTCTAATATGTGCAACTGCAACTTGGTGACTGCCCATGGCCATGGGAACATTTGCTAATATACTGAGATAATACGTCCTCCTTCATAAGAAAAGATCCCAAGCCTTCCTCTTCCTTCCATCGGTGCTGCCGCCGGTCTGCCCCATCTCAGATGGCCTTTGGGCCATGGAGGTGCGGACAACCTCGGGCCCCCGCCGGTGGGAGGGACCCCGTTCTAGTTCCTTTTACGTTCAGTGTCTTCATTGGGGCTGTGTGGCGGCGGCGATGACCCTCAGTAGGAATAAATGTTTCCCACATTCTATCCTTGTCCTAATGGTGTGTCTAGCGCCGTCAGAGGGTGTGTGGAGGTGTGTCTCCGTCGGAACTTGTGGGATTCGGTCGGTGCTGGTCTTCGGTGGATCTGCTTGGATCCGGTCTACGTTCGTCTTTGTTTGCATGTTCATATATTTGATGCTTCCGATCTACTAGTTTCTTTATAGGCATGGTTGCTGCTCTGGTGCGCTGGTGCTATGGGGCCTTAGCACGACGACTTTCGAACTGTTTACAACAACAAGGTTTGCCGGGCTCCGACGAGGGAGGAGCGATGACGGCGACACGTCTCCGACTCACTCGACTGCTTGTAGTCGTTGTTAGGTGATCCACGAACATGGTTGTAATTTTTATTACATGATTGAAAATTTCTCACGCCAAAAAAAAATACTGGCACAATACGAGAGTGACGTGGCTCCCCAACGGAAGTTCCAAAAATACCTTGGTGGTGGCAGTGGAGGTGTTTGATAAATTGACAGGGTGAAAGGCCCAATCCGTACTCTGATCTTTGGAGACGGTGGGTGTGGACAAGGTGGAGATGGAGGTGGAGGTGGAGGTGGTGGAGCCGCGCCTGGAGCTAGAACCGGGCGTACAGTAGGCGCTGGAAGTCGTTGAGGATCGCGGCCTCCGTACACATGAGGACGCGCACGCTGCCGTCCCCCTTCCTGCTGTCCATCAGATAGACGAACCCGGCGCGCTCCGACACTGCACGCAGCATTGCCAGCGGCTTCCCCCACCCGAAGTCCACGTCGTACACCGGCATGCCAAGCCAACTGATCACCCGCAGCTCCGTCTCTGGCATGCGCCCCGGCGCCGGCTTGCTGTTGATCTCGGTGAGCTCGAAGTAGTCTATCGCCGAGCGCACTAGCTCGTCGTCCATCCGACGGACGGCGCTGTTGATCTGGCCGGCCACGAACACCAGGTTCTCCGACTCCGAGGAGGCGACGTCTCGCACCTTGCCAGCCGCGCCAAGCCAGATGATCCCGTTGCCGCAGTAGCCAGGCGGGAGTGGTGGCCTTATGCTGCGCCGGACGCTGGCCGGGAAGGTCAGGCGGGTGGTAGCGTCCGGTGGCAGCCGGCGGGCGACGCAGACGCACCGCCACACGTGGGCACTCAGGGCACAGAACGTGCTCACGCGGCCGCCGTCGCCGCCGACGCAGGCACGCTTGAGAGCGGTGACCTGGTCCTTGGAGACGACGAAAGCCTGGGTGACGACGGTCTCCGACGGCTCGACGGATAATTTCAGCTGGGGGCTGAAGACCGAGAAGGCGTCGGGGTGGACAAAGGGTGGGGAGCGCGCGCGGAGGAGGGTGCGGTCGTGGAACGGGAGCTCTAGCGCCGCCGCGCCGCCGCCCTTGGAGAAGGCAGACCACGTCTGCAAGAAGTGGAACGCGCTGATGGCGTCGACGGCGACGTGGTGCAGCGCCGTCCCTAATGCCACCCCGCCGCACTTCAAGAAGGTCACCTGGACAGCGCACAAGACGGACGGCGAGTGGTCTTCGACGCGGGGAACAAACAGCGTCCTCAGCTCGGGCGACGGCAAGAAGCTGCGGAAGTCGTCGATGGTGAGGTCCGAGCGAGCGACGACGAAGAGCGCGCCCTGGCCGGTGCAGTCGATCTCTGCCCGGCCGTTGCCGTCCATGCCGAGACGGCCGGCCAGGGGGTAGAAAGCCACGAGTGCCTTGGCCATCGCTGCCTTGAGCCTGGCCACGTCGAAGAAGTCACCGGGCAAGGAGCGGTACGGGTAGAAGTAGACGGCGGGGGTGTGGCCTCTGTTGAGCAGCAAGAGGTCGAGCGGGGAGAGCCACATGCCTCTCCTAGGCGTCTCCTGGCAGGGTGCCACCATGCACAACTCCACCACCTCCACCTCGTCCACACTCATTTTCGTCGCTTTCTTCGTAGAAAGCGCTGCGCCCATTTTTCTCCTGCTGACTGAGCTGAGGTCGAGTGAAGAGACGGATGTGTAGCGCTCTTGCAGCAGCTCGCGCGCTTCTCCCATTTTTATAGTCTACATGCATAGACGTGCACACGGTCCAGGGGTTTATCTTCTTAAAATGATTTTTTATATTTGAATTGGATAGTGATGGAAAGGATGTGGATGTTCTCGCTTGCATTGTGTCGGCTTTGTACCCTTATACGGAGAGATTATCATGGTTCAATTCAAATTGTTCCTAGAAAAGACTTGTGTAAACCGTTTTGCAAAAAAAAAAGGTATAAAAAAAGTAGACCTCTAAATATGAAGTGAGATAGATGGCTTGGGAATGGTTTTCTGTATGGACACTGGTGAATCTGTGGGATAGATCTTAGAGGATATGTTTTTCACAGTTCACTAAAAATCTAGCGAAGATGGCATTGGTCGGTAATTTCTTTTGTTTAAAGTGGATCTAACGGTTGTGGTTTTTTCATGTTTAAAATGGAAGGTTAGATCTTCCTAATTATTATCAAATTTTCTAGTGTAATTCTCTTTTTTTTTTCTGTTTAGCTCGGTTAGCCCATCAAATAATTTTTATATATAATTAATAGAGGATATGTTTTTAGTTCATTACTTAAAATGTAGCGAAGATGACATTGGTGAGTAATTTCCTTTGTTTTAAAGTGGATCTAACGATTGTGGTTTTCTGATGTTTGAAATTAATGGCTAGATATTCCTAGTTATTTTCTAGCGTAATTCCCTTTTTTCTGGTTAGCCCGGTTAGCCCGTCAAATTCTTTTTTATAGATAATAGATTCCGGTCGCAAATGTGCACGTGACCCGGTTGCTCGCTCGCGGCAATTGAGCTAGCTAAATGGTACTCTCTCCGTCCTACAATGTAAGACGGTTTACGGTTTTTAAGCTACATTGTCTGACGGAGGGAGCAGTACTCAAAGACAACAACACTGCAGCTGCGCATCACCCACTGATTAACGGAAAAAGGAAACAAGCCAATGGCCCCCTTGATGGCTATATTTCAGCTCTACAAAATAAATAGTTGTCCCACTTCCTTTTTCTCTCTATCCATGTCAATCAGCCCACGTAAAAATTGAAGCAGATGTGCACGCAACGCCACACACATTTGTTTTTGGGGGGACATGGTGGTTGGAGTTAAGGCACACGAAAATGACAATGGGCAGGAACACGACGGCGACTGGGGGAAGTGGTGGATCCTTGAGAGTGAGAGCAGGCTCGAGCCGTGCGGGGCGTGGTGGCCATGGCGAGTTCATCGTGGATAGCCTGCCCTCCGGTACGGTAGGACGATGACGGTGTTGCTATCTCGGGAGCAAGCGATGCACATGCCCATATGTACAGATCGTTCTGTTTGCTCTCTCTACCAGGGCAACTCTAACTGATCCTTTATCCAGCGTTAAGGGAGGATAAATTCGATTTCCCTCCCTTACGCAGTGGCGGCGCTAGGTGCCTGAACCAGTGATGTCAAAGCTTTATTGTTATGCATATGTAGATAAACTACAACCAATCACGGGCATACATATTAGTGAAGCCAACCCAGATTATGTGACGTCGCTTGACATCAGAGTCAACACGTAGCTTCCCCACTGCCCTTACATCGCACCTAGCCGATCCCTTAAACCTCATAAGGGATGATAAATTATTCTCCACCATCCAAAAACCCTCAAATCTTCCTAAATATACACGAGCCGTGCTCGGCTAAGGAAAAAATCCCGCCTCCTATGTCCCGCCGCAGCCGCCACCACCCCCTCCCCCTCCTCCCCCCCCAATCGCTGATGACTGGCCCGACCGCCGGAATAGAGAGCCAGGACTATTCCGCCATCCCGCCAGCCACCACAGCCGGCTTGTCCCCGTCAGAAACCACCCTCGTGCCTAAGAAGATATTGGGAATAAGAAAAGTCGACCGAGTTCAAGCTCCAGCTCCAACCGCGATAAAGGCCACCGTGGTGGCGAGCGCCTCTCCGGCGTCGGAGCGCCGCTCCCGACGGTGCCAAAAGAGATCAAAAGCCGACGATGGTGGCATTTACCCTAGCCGAGGAGGCCGCGAGGAAAAAGAAGAAAAAGTCGACTCCGGCACCCTGTCCAATACCAACGGCACGTGGAGCGTCTTCAGCGACATCCATGGGCACTGCTCCGGCACATCCAGCGGCGGCAACCGGCAAAAAGGGCCGTGTCCGCCTAGTGCTTGATGAAAGGCCTACAAGGTCAAAAAGAATATCTTCAACATTTCGGCCGATCGGTGATTGTTGGTAGCCTATGGTGATGTAATTTATTTGTTTCGTTATTGTACTGCGGAGATGAACATGGCCGAGTGCTTAGCATCTTTGGAGTCGGCGGCCACGATAGGACTTGATTAGCTCAACTACGACTCCATTTGGCATCATTCGGAGGCGGCCCAAGATATTGAGCGAGAGGAGGTGGCTGAGGAAGAGGAGGCCGATGCTTGGAGCTGTTGGAAATATGCCCTAGAGGCAATAATAAAAGTATTATTATTATATTTCCTTGTTCATGATAATTGTCTTTTATTCATGCTATAACTGTATTATCCGAAAATCGTAATACACGTGTGAATACATAGACCACAATATGTACCTAGTGAGCCTCTAGTTGACTAGCTCGTTGTGATCAACAGATAGTCATGGTTTCCTGGCTATGGACATTGGATGTCGTTGATAACGGGATCACATCATTAGGAGAATGATGTGATGGACAAGACCCAATCCTAAGACTAGCACAAAAGATCGTGTAGTTCATTTGCTAGAGCTTTGCCAATGTCAAGTATCTCTTCCTTCGACCATGAGAGCGTGTAACTCCTGGATACCGTAGGAGTGCTTTGGGTGTATCAAACGTCACAACGTAACTGGGTGACTATAAAGGTGCACTACAGGTATCTCCGAAAGTATCTATTGTTTTATGCGGATCGAGACTAGAATTTGTCACTCCGCGTAAACGGAGAGGTATCTCTGGGCCCACTCGGTAGGACATCATCATATGCGCAATGTGACCAAGGAGTTGATCACGGGATGATGTGTTACGCAACGAGTAAAGTGACTTGCCGGTAACGAGATTGAACAAGGTATTGGATACCGACGATCGAATCTCGGGCAAGTAACATACCGATAGACAAAGGGAATTGAATACGGGATTGATTAAGTCCTTGACATCGTGGTTCATCCGATGAGATCATCATGGAACATGTGGGAGCCATCATGGGTATCCAGATCCCGCTGTTGGTTATTGACCGGAGAACGTCTCGGTCATGTCTACATGTCTCCCGAACCCGTAGGGTCTACACACTTAAGGTTCGATGACGCTAGGGTTATAAAGGAAGTTTGTATGTGGTTACCGAATGTTGTTCGGAGTCCCGGATGAGATCCCGGACGTCACGAGGAGTTCCGGAATGGTCCGGAGGTAAAGATTTATATATGGGAAGTCCTATTTTGGCCACCGGAAAATGTTCGGGATTTTTCGGTATTGTACCGGGAAGGTTCTAGAAGGTTCCAGAGTGGGGCCCACCTGCATGGGGGGACCCACATGGACGTGGGTAGTGGGGGCAAGGCCCCACACCCCTGGTCAAGGCGCACCAAGATCCCCCCTTAGAAGGAATAAGATCATATCCCAAAGGGATAAGATCAAGATCCCTAAAAAGGGGGGATAGCAATCGGTGGGGAAGGAAATGATGGGATTTCTTTCCTCCCACCTTTGCCAACGCCCCAATGGACTTGGAGGGCAAGAAACCAGCCCCCTCCACCCCTATATATAGTGGGGAGGCGCATGGGAGCTTCACCCTTGCCCCTGGCGCAGCCCTCCCTCTCCCAAGTGCTCCTCCTCTCTCGCGGTGCTTGGCGAAGCCCTGCAGGATTGCCACGCTCCTCCACCACCACCACGCCGTTGTGCTGCTGCTGGACGGAGTCTTCCTCAACCTCTCCCTCTCTC